GCCGGGCATCCAAATTAACAGATAAATAATAATGTATAGTGTTTGTGATTGAGAAATGTCAATAGAGGGGCAACACTCAGAGTTATGTCACCATAAATCATCATGGGTTTGGACGGATTTTCAAAAATTCAACATGAAATACACAGCACTTGTCTCCCTTGAAGAGAGAGTGATGTACTGGCAACAGTATGCTAGTGTCCGAACGATGTGTAACATTCCGTTTTAATGTATGTTACTTGATATCATCTTGTACACTCCTCTTCCAGATATCAATTACTGAACTATAGAGGCTCGATGAGCAGAAACTCACTTGCGAAACCACCCAGAACATTCACATAATTCTCCCGACTCCCCCTTGTAATATATATGACCCCAAGGATTCACGTTCCAATGTACACGCTTTTCTTTGGTGTACGTCTTCTCCCTTCTGTATGTCCGCAGTACAGCTGTTGGTCGTTGCCGTCTGTTGAGTCCACATAATACGTCTACTTCTCGACTCCCGTTTCAGTGTCTCGTCGATCCTCTGTTAACCCATTTTCCATTGTCTTCTACATAATTTGTGTACTGCAAGCAGATACTGCTCCTTACCCTCCCTTCTTCTCTTCCCACTTCTTCCTTGTTATTACCAGAGTCTGGGTGTTATTCAGTCCCACTAGCGGGCCGTGCTCTCAACAGCTCATCGGTGGGTATCACCCAGCAATCGGAAACCTACATTTTCCCAAGTTTCGGAACCAGTGGCCTCCGCCTCGAACCGGTGAAATACTTCAGACTTCAAAAGTGTACTTGTTTTAATGCATCGGAAACAACGTACGACCCCAGATTAATCGGTTTAAACATGCAGTTCACGGATGATTCTGTGGACGACTTCTATCGTTTTCTGAAAGCTCTGGGACCAGTGAGGTGCTATTTTGTTTATATCTATGTTGTAATAGAAACCACAGTCAACTCTCCGTTGTTTCGAGCGTGGGGTATGTGTGATGATCGCTTACTCTATCTCCAGGATTATTACACTTTGCACGACTCCGATGCTGTTCTTGTCGCAAGGGAGTTTTTACGCAATAACTCTTTGGTGAAGCACTACAGAAAAGGTTGATCTGCTACCAAGAAAATTATCGAAATTTGACTTTATATTTATCTAGGGGGTGTAAACCTTCCCTATGTTTCTGTGAAGAAATCGAACACGGAATTCCTCAGGTTCTTTCTCCTCAAGCGGCAGTACCGTGTTGAAATATATGGATCATCTACGAAACTCGGGCGAGATAATGAATGGACTTTGAAAATAAAAGTAATACGACCGGGACAACTTTTACGCTCACTTATTTAGGCTTCACCAGGCAATCTCTCTTCACTTGACGATCTGCTACTGGACGGTTCGAACTCCGTAGAATCTGCTTGGCTTTGTGCTTTGAATTTAAAGTATTGCGACGAGAATGTCGTAAGTGTGCTGTTATTACGTGTTTGGTGATGTTTTGATGTTATTTGCAACGTGCTAAATATGCCATAGGTTGTGGGCGGCCATTACCAGTCACGAGCGTATCGTACCGAAGGTTGTTTGAACCCCTTCATCACGGACAGCATAAGGTCAAAGGTGATCAAACTAAGATCTGGGATGGGTATGTGGAAGCTGTTACCGGTGCACGTTACCCGCGGAGACCCGTTCCAAAATGATCAATATGTATACTGACTACTCATAAGTAGTATCCACTGTCCTATTGCTCACAAAGCAGAACAGATTTATTATGTATTTATTGTAACAACCATAAGTATAAAAAAGCATCTAGTGAATGTTCAACAGGGCGAAAACTATCTGATTTGCTGCAGGAACTTTCCAATGTCATTATGGGATATCTGAATTGAAAATTCAAACCACGCACGGTATTGTAATTCACCCAGACGGTCCCAGATCATGTCACTGACAGATCCTGTTACATTCTTCTGTCTGCATTTTATACGGCTCCCGAGCGCACAGGTTACTTGTATACACTCCCTTCGCAGTATTGATGAAGCCGTCCGAGTGATTACCACATGAATATATCCCAATGAACAGTACGCTCCCCACTGGTCTGTGTACACCGTGGTTCCAGTCATCACCCAACGTGGCAATATAGGCAGAACTGTGAACGTTGATCGATTTTCCACCGGTTGAAAATAGGCTTTCTTTAGGTTCCCATCATACAAGTTCAGAAATGAAAACAAAATAATGGGATACTACCCTACTGAGGTACCCCAGTAGGGTTACGTAACCGAAATAAATGAATGGAAACTATTATTTAAAAATGGAAAAACATTAACCATACCAATTACAATGAAGAAACATTAGAAAGTGACCAAAATAATTGGGTTGAAGTTGGTGACGTCATAAGTTTTGAGAGGGGTCCCAATGGGTAACGTGCGCCTCGTAACCAGGACTGGTTCACATAGGTACGTCAGGCTACTTGGATTTAGGCAACTGAATGCCGCAAACAGTGGCGCTCGTGCATCTTAATATTTCTGCAACCCCAGTCTCTATCTTGGCCCTAGATTTTATCTTAACATTCCAACCCTCATTCTGCTCTTTTATCCAAAAGGGCGGCCAAAAGACAGCAACTGAACCCGGCGCACAAAAGTGCATGCTGTCCAACTTTCCCGGTGTCTAGATTGAGTCGCTGCTTGGAGGGATACCAGATAGTTGGCATTTCCGCTAACTTCTGCTTCACCAATTTAAAATTCACTGGTGGCATCCTCATTTTTAGTAGAGATGTCCTTCCTTGAAATCGTTGGCCGCATCAGTCGTCGGGCCTTCTAGACCGGCCTAGAGGTGAACTCATCCGAAACCGAAATATGTGCTGCATTCCCTAGTCATTCCGAAGATACATTACAACTATCAGCCTGTTGAATCCGTTGAAAGCTTGAAATATCTGGGCTCAACCAAGTTGTTTAACGATCTAGTTAAAGATAAAATCTGACTGCTTTCAGATAGGCGTTACAGCTGAAGAATTTACTATGACGTAGCGACGAAATCATCATAAAGAGGAAAATACCATCTTTCCCGCAGTAGCCCGTCCTGTCCTCTTATACGGCTGGAGAAGACTGTCGGCGATTATCTCTGATCACTGGTGCCTACGAATCATTCTGGGAGCCAATTTTAGGGATCAACGCCCAAATGAAATCCGAAACCGCTCGTACAGCGGCAATGACTGCCATGGTTCATGAGTATGAGTTTATGAATATGGGTAGAGCAGACCGCGATCGGATCAAATCTGCACTAGTATCGTCTTCCTGTTTGGCGCTATCATCGCGGTAAGTATTTCAAAATCTGGTTAAACCGAATAAGTCAGGACAGATGTTCGCTCCGTATACGGCAATCAATAATGTAAGTCGGGCTTGTACAGTCTGCATAGACCTTGCTGCCAACCGCCCAGTGCAGGCCATTGCAATTTGAAATATCCACGAAGCCGGCTTATTCTCACGAGTCGCCGGCCGTCAAGTGAATGTCGTAAACAGTAGTGCTCGTGTATTCATTTATTTTCCCCACGAATATAGTTTACCTGTATTGTATTTCTTTACTACTATCCCCAGCATGTTCTCACCACCCTCTGCCTCATCTAAATACTCTTCAAAAGATAACTATCGAAGGCACTACGCGACAGTGATGTAGACGCTTGTATAAGCTAAATAAAAAGATGCATTCCTTGAAGTACTTTCAGAAAACGTGTAAGGTAGAGATCAATCCCAAGGTCGTTCTTTGCGCGACTTCAGTCTTGGTGTTAACAAATGAGGTTCTGAGGGCTAAGCTCAGGGACAGTCCTGTGTATACAATTTAATAGATTGATAGCGCCTTATCTTTTGTGGTTATCTCTTTGCGCTGCAGGTTGTTCACTTGGCGTGTTGCGATCGTGAGAGTCGACGAATTGTGTGCGGGGAGTTCGTAGATTCCATCCAGTTGGCCAACTTGGAAACAGCCCTCGTTCAGTTGGAGTCACGTGAATGTTTGGTTCCTATGGGAGTGCTATCCACAGCTTCTGATGGCAACGGTAAAGTCAACAAAGCAGACAATGCTGTGGTGGCAGAGCATTTGGGTTTGATATTTGAACGCGTAGGAGTCTTGGTGACAGAGGTGAAGAAATGTAAGTTCAACAATAATAATACGTGGACCCTTAACAAATACCCCTAAACAGTATGTTCAGTGGCGTTTTGAGTCTCTACTTCATGAGAGTTTTAGTCGTTCTCGGGTAATATTCATCGTCTAGTTTGTGTTACGAGCTGCGTGCTGAACACTTCTAACCAATTTTTAACGGTTACTCACATACACATGTACATCAGATACAATGCCGAGGTAGACAGGAGTAAGGACATGGCTGTGAGCCATCGAGTTCTGGTGGTTAAGAGATTAGCACACAACTTTGATTTCTTTGTCCTTTTTATGATTAGGACTGCCATTTTAGTAGAACCGCACCCAGGCCAATAAATTAGACTCGATGCCGTGTCTCCCAGTGCATCCAGTAAACGAAGATATGAATAAATATGGTATTGATCTGAAATCGAAGATTTACGGACGCTTAGTTAGGTTGCGAAGAAGCGGAAATAAAGCCAATGCAGAAAGGGAGGTGAGTGGACACGATTGTTTGCTACACTCCGTCCTCTTAACCTGCCGTCGCCCGGCTCAGTACCGCTCCTGATCTATTGAAGCCTTATGTGGTCCGCCACTCTAAGTTTCAGGATCATGGTTGCCGATTTCCTCACAACATAAACATGACAGTACAACATCACAAATGCTCACATTCTGTCGCTCACTCTACGCACAAACTGGAATACACTAATCCCCCTAACCAACATTCGCGGACTTAACCGCAATATTGATTCTGTACACCATTTTCTCCATTCTTCTCCGCTCATCCTCTTTGGACCAAAACACGAATCTCCCCCTCGTCGGACACCACCCACCTTCAATTCTCCAACTACACTCTCCATTCCTCTTCTCTACCCAAAGATGGTGTCTGCGCCTTTATTAACCAATCAGTCGCCGCCTCCAGGATCCCAAACCTTGTTTTTTCCAATCGTGAATTGCAGCTGATGTGGCTGAAACTCCGACTTCCTTCCCTTTATCATTATTTTTGTGTTCTGTATCGATCCTCCAATGTTGGTGACTCTTCCACCTTTGATTTCTTTGATCTTCAAACATTGAACACTTGTTTGCAACCGACCCCAACTGCCATGTTACCATCTTGGGAGATTTTAACGTTCTCAATCAGGACTCGCTGACATTCATTTGCTACTTCTTCTTTGGGGCGCGAAGCCAAACATTTCGCTTTGGTCAACAACCTGAATCAACTAGTTGACCTCCCCACACGTCCCTAATCAAGCTGGCGATCGTGCCCACACCCTCGATGTAATTCTCACTTCGGTCCCTTTTTTCTTCTCTTAGTTGTACCCTCTTCTTGGCTCATCAGATCACTGTATTGTATCTTTCTATTAAGTTTACCAGCCCCACCCGCCTCGAGACACATTCTGGCGCTACAACTCACCCAACTGTGACGGTTTCCATGATTTCATAGCTTCTTATCTATAGAATGATTGTTGTTTCTCTTTGGACATTTCCAAATCTGTTTCCAACTTCACCGACGTTGTTCTTCAAGGTATACGTCTTTTTATTCCGCACTTTTCCAAACCCAGCAAACCTAAATTCCCTGAGTGGTTTAACTATGCATGTGACCGTGCTGTACGCTTATAACGTTCAGCCTTCCGGCGCTGGCACCGGTCGCCCACTCCGCTCTCCCACTCCGCTCTCCCACCATCGCTTCGTGCAAGCTAGGAACCGATGCTCGACGACCATTCAGAGAACCAAAGAATGCTTCGTCCACCGTAAAGTCGAAAATTTGGTCTCGTCCGCCACCGGTAGCCGAACATTTTGGTCCCTTGTCAAAGCAATTTCCCGTAATTTCCGCCCTTCCAACTCCCCCCTATCTGAAATTCCACTGATGATCCTGTATGTCA